TAAAAACCTCACCTCCTCGGATGCATCCGAGGAGGTGAGGTTTTTACCCACGGGGGCTTATGCCCAAATAAATCTGTTAGTCTTTAAGGTGCCACTAGACTCCTTGTTGTTTTTGTGACAAAGACTGCTCCCTGTAGCTTACAGTAATGTTGCTTGTTAGGGCTAGTTCAAGACATTGCGTATCTCCCATAGAGGGGTTTGCGCCTAGTCATGCTGCTCAAGGAGCAGTCAAGGGAATGAATTCTGACTGAGTCACACTTTGCTCCCTGCTTGCCAGCTTTGCTTCAGGGGGGAAATAATCTGTAACTGGCTGTAACCAGTTAGATTGCTTCCCCCTTAGCAGTGGCTCAGATCTGGTGGTCAGCACTGTAGAGGAAGGTGGAGCCAAGCCACTGCCTATTCCCAGTCTCACCCACATTTCACCCCCCCTACATGGAGGAGGAGGACCAGCCCCACTGAGCTTACTCTCCCCTCTCATGCACACATTGGTGATGCGGGTGGACTGCACAAAGGAGTAAGAGGACATTTTATGCCCCCTTAGTCTTCTGCATGGGCATATAGATCAAGGGCCCAACTTGCTCCCTAACTTTTGCATGCAAATTTTTGTTTTGTTCCAATTCACTTTTTGAATTATTCCAAAAGTCATGTATGAAAAATAATGTGTAAAATGAAACAGAAGCTTAGCAAAAAAAAAGTAGAGTTGTACTGTAATTTAAAAACCTTTTACAGCGAAATCGTATTAAATTACCATAAGTGCTCTCCTTTTGAGGGATACTGCTTTTGAGTTGTGCTAACTAGCAATTGACAGAAGTGGATGTGAAGAGATTTTAAAGCAATGGATGAGACTTCTTTTAAAAAATTTCATATTTAAATTTTTCTTCCTTTTTTTATTTTTTTTTTTCAAATTGGAAAGAAAGAATAGTCATATCTTTTTTGAATTTGAATTTCTGTCCTGACAAGACTGATGTTGTTGTGAATCTATAAAAACATGTGAAATATTATGAGAGAGAACTGGGATGGCTTTGTCCTAAACGTATGTGCAAGTCTATTTTTAGAACATTTAATTGGAAACAGACGTTCTCCTTGTAGAGTACTTTAGGCTGCTGTAGTTTTCTGAAAGGGTTACAATGGAGTACCTTTTATGTGAGTAATGATAATGATTTATATCATTAATTTGTTTCCCAGATTTGCTTGCAGTTTAAGATGAACATTAGAAAAGATTTGTGGTTTGGTAGAGAGATCCATTTGCTGTGTCAGCACTTCTTAAAAATATTTCTCTTCCATGGAAACTGTTATAAATTAAATACATAAGTGCAGATCAAGCTGTGGGAAGAACAACAATGTTATACGGGTTGAGGGAGAAAAATTATGAATAGCTTTTCATGTTATTGATCAAAAGCAGGAAAGTTAAACAATGTGTTGGGAGTTAAATAAGATCCTTTGTTCTTTATCTCTTTTGAAAGTGTGCCACCATTTTTGTTTTGTTTTACTGTATATTCTAAGTGAGAGGTAACCAGGGGAGTTACACTGTAGTAGAAAATATAGAAAGATAAACAATTCAGTCATTGTGTGTGTGTAATGCTGAAGTATTAGTTACTTGGGTATGTACTTCAAATTAGATAATTACACTCCACTGTATTCACCCAGGCAGTAATCTACTTTGATCTCAAAAACTTTAAGGTAGGTTGATCCTGCTTATCACTTGTATTGGAGACCATCGAATTAAACACGAGAACTGTGTTGGTCATTCAGTAGATCACACTAGCTCTGCCCCCTCAAGGCAAGGTTCTCTACTCAGTTATTCCAGTGCTTGGTGGAGATATGCCTGATTTACATTGGAGTATCTGAGATCAGAATCTGGTCCTGAATTAATACTGAAGCAGTGTCTCATGCAAGGGGCCACCCATGCAGAATAACCAGTAGAATTGGGGCGATAGAGCCCAGTCTTGCTGAACTAAAATCAGTTACGCTGTCATTGATGGCAGTAGGACTGGGACTCAAACTCTCAACAATAAAAATTGTTAACCTTCTTAATTGCAGCCTATTTTTTATAAATATAACTGACACGAACTTTCAAGGATACTTAACAATATGGGAAATTCAGGGGGAAATTATGAGCCATTTTCAAGCAAGAGGGGATTAAAAAAAGTGGTAGGAGAAAAAAACAAAATTTCAAATCAGGATAATTTGAAATGACCTATAATTCAAAATTAATTTCATGATTTTTTTTCAAACTGTGCAGAAACAAAGTAAGATTTTTATAATGGAACTTGGAACATTAATATGGAAATGGTACTGCTGCTCTGTAATATATATATTTTATACATATCTACATACATATACCAACTTCTGAAGTTAGTCCAATAAAAGATATTACCTCACCCACCTTGTCTCTCTAAAGATTCACAAGGCATTTTTGGGTAAGAGTAGAACTGTTAGCCCCAGTGTTCTGACTAACCTCTAGTTTGGGTATTTAATTCTGCCCAACTACATTCCTTCCTTGGTTTTAAGTAGATATAGTATATTTTTTCTTGTGCTGCCCTAGGACACAATCCTGCAGACACTTACTCCCAGGAGTAGTGTCTATTATTTTGAGTAATCCAGTTGTCTCCAGTGGAACTACTTATGAGTAAGGTTATTCATGTGTGTGCTTGCAGATTCAGGCCCCTAAACAGTTGTGCAGCATTGCAGTGTGCTTTTAAGCAGCTGCCACATTACACAGAGAGATATGGCTGCTTTTTAGTGTTGGGAGAAATTATTCCTATATATGTGTGCATTAAAGAAGGTGCTGATAGTGGTATTATATTTTAAGACTGAATTCCAACTTCCATTCTAATTCCCCCTTTTTACTTGTTCATAAGTTTCCCTAACAAATCCATTTTAGTGCTGACATTTTCCATGCTTGGTCTCAGCCCAAAGGTGTTAGCAAAATCATTTCAGACGCTTTTGTGTTATTCAAGTGAAGAAAAAAATACTCTCTCCCCAGTTGCTCCAGGCTGAATTTTTCCTTCAAATCTGTTTTGAGACTTAAAAAATCAAGCCAATTTTGATGAAAGTTGGGCCAATAACTTTATAGTGCACAGTAGGACTTTTAAAATAAGAACTTTAAGGGACCATCTGCTTGGCCTCAACCTTCAGTCCTATACCTGGGGTAATAACACCCTATCGGTTAAGTCTGTAGGCCAGTTCACAAGGAATTTAGAAAGTCAAGTAATGATGCCTGAGTTAAAAATGGCTCTAATTGGAACTGGGGCCAGAGCCAGGGTCAGGAGCCTGCCAAGCCTATCATTGCCACAGGGGAGAGAATTGCCAGGCCATCGTCAGACTAGTTTAATAGCTCTGCTGCTGAAGCAAGTGGAGCATGTAAATCTCCAAAGCCAGTAAGATGCAAGTGGGTGATGGGAAGGAAAAAGCCTTAACTAGTGGGAACAGAATGGATGTAAAGAAGGCAAAGTGCGTGCACAGGTAGTATTGTGAGCGGTTCTTCATGGTTTTGTTCGTATGAGTGCTCCATATCAGGATGTGCATACACCCGCCTTCTGGATCCAAGACCAGCTCCAGGCACCAGCGCAGGAAGCAGATGCTTGGGGCGGCCAATAGAAAGGGGCGGCACGTCTGGGTCTTTAGCGGCAATTCAGCGGCGGGTCCCTCAGTCCCTCTTGGAGGGAAGGACCGGACGCTGAATTGCTGCCGAAGAATGAAGCGGCGTGGTAGAGCTGCCTCCGAAGTGCCGCTGATCGCGGCTTTATCTTTTTTTTTTCCCGATGCTTGGGGCGGCAAAAAAGCTGGAGCCGGCCCTGTCTGGATCAGAGATTTTTTTTGTCAGCAGTGTCCGTGGGTCTACATCTGTGCCCAGTGCATCCTCCGACTCTGGTATGAGGGTATAGAGCAGTGGTTCTCAACCTGCTGCCCAATCAGCACACAGCTTCTGCCCATGTGACAATCTCAGGGC